TCGTCTTCTGCTGATTTGGTCTCACCCCCGCCTTCCTCATTAATCTTAATCTCTCTTTTTCAGCCTCACTAAACTGTTTGTTGTGTCGGTGATGTTCTGGATACAATACCTTTTCATGGTTGTGAAACCCTCTATTAGCTCCGGTTTCACGACTTGTCACTCCCACTAGGACCCATGTGTTTGGACCATCCTTTTGCCACACTTCCTTAATACATATCTGAAACTGGCAACCAGTACCCTTCGAACTAATATTCCCACGCGTCTCCTTCGTAGGGTCTGGTTTATAAGACTTAACGATCCTACTGTTTCTGTCGCAATACATACAGAGGGCAGTAACAGGATGTAGTCCAGCAGTATTCGGTTTCCATGCTCCTCTAACAATAAAGAACCCGTTCTCCTGAGCGATTGCTCTTGCAGCTAACTCAGCTAACTTCACACTTGCATAATGGATCCCATTCTCAAATTCTGCTGTGTAATCATGATCGGCCGGTAACCACTCTGACATTTTTCCTACAATTACAATATAACACATCAATATTCTTGTGAACCTAAACGCTAATTTCAACTCTTAACCGCTAAATTCAACTCCTAAACTCTAAATTCAACTCCTAAACGCTAAATTCAACTCCTAAAATCGAATTTTTCCGACGATTTGCAACGAACAGGGTGTGCCGAAAATTTCCGGCGGCCGGAACCTGGCCGGGCCGAAGGGAAACGGTGGCCGGAACCTGGCCGGGCCGAGATTATTTTTCGGCTCCGCCTGGCTCCGGCCACCGTTTTCCGTCGGCCCGGCCAGGTTCCTGCCGCCGGAAACTTTCGGCCCGGCCAGGTTCCGGCCGCCGGAAATTTTCGGCCCACCCTCTGTTCGTTGCAAATCGTCGGAAAAATTGTTCGAAACTACAAAAAAATTGACGCACCTGCTTAGTGATGATTCATGGATGCGTGTTCGCAGTTTACGTCGAGGATGGGCTTTCCCGATGGTTTTCCGACGACTTTTCCGGCGAGCATCGATTTTTTCTGATTCAATACGTTTTCTGAAAGTTGAATATGTTGTAGATTGTGAAACTTCTTAACCAAGGATGTACATATATACTTTTTTTTTTTTAGTTGGCGGCAAATAGCAATTTGTTTGGCGGCAAATAGCAAGCCCCCTATAAATACCCCCTTCCATTCCACCAAAATTCACACCACTTCATTCTTCTTCCTCTCGTCCTCCCACCACCCTTGAAGAAAAAAATCCGCTCTGTGGTTGCGGCTAAGCCCGATCTTCCGCATCAAATTTTTTTTCTTTAGTTTGGTACTCCTATCACTCAAAATTGTCGAGATGGACCCGAGTATTTACGATCCTAGATTATACATTCAAGGCGGACCGCGAGAAACCGATTTGTTGGATGAGCAACCTTACCATCAGTCTGAAAGTGTTTGGGCGGCAGATCCGATAAGCAATTCCTCGTGTACTTTTTTTTAATGTGATAGTATTCTTCTAATTTTTTTATAATAATTAATGTTTTTTTTTTCTATAGGAACAACTTGACGTAATCACCCATCGGTCACTATCTCGCTTGCCTAAATGGGATGATCGTATCCAGCCCTTCATTGAAAGAGCGCGATTGCTCAGGGTGCGAAAGTTTGTGGGAGTGGAGATGGACAACAACCTTCTTACGGCAATGGTTGAAAGATGGAGAAAAGAAACGCACACATTCCACCTTCTGGAGAGAGAGATGACGATTACGTTGAAGGACATGGTCATGCTGACAGAGCTTCCAATCGATGGTGATGCAATAATAGAAAGTTCACAGAAACCATTGAATAGTTGGGGCCAATTTATAAGCGAGCGTTTAGGCATCAACATCCCCGAGGAAGCACCAGAAGGTCGTCGTATACCACCTCTACACAAGTCTATGCTATCCATACCTTGGCTAGTGAGGACCGCTGGAGAATTACCGGAGGATGCCACAGATGCTCAGATAGAGAGGTATGCTCGCATCTACCTGATTTGTTTGGTTGGAGAATTTTTATTTCCGAACAAGTCTGGTGGAAATATGCATTGTATGTGGCTTCGAGTTCTTTTGGAAGATTGGGACGAGATTAGTAGAAAAAGTTGGGGATCTGCTTGTTTGGCTATGATATATTCGGAGTTGTGCAAGTGTACGGACCTGAAAGCAAAGCAAGCTAGTGGTCCCATGTTCATCCTCCAACTATGGGTTTGGGAGCACCTTCCTACTTTCGCTCCGATCTGCCCTGCCAACAGTTGGGGTCCCGAAGAGCCACTACGACAATGGTCTTATGGTGCTAGATGGATTGGAGCTATCACGAGACTCACCTCTCTAGACGGGTACCGCCAACATCTTGACCGTATAGAATGCAACGAGGTAACATTCTAGCTTATTATTATGAATGCTAATTTATTTGTTGAAATTATTTGTCTTAGCCCATGATTTATTTTTATGATTATGAATGCTAATTTATTTGTTGAAATTATTTGTCTTAGCCCATGATTTATTTTTATGATTACGAATTCTATTTTATATGTTGAAATTATTTATCTTAGCCCATGATTTATTTTTATGATTACGAATTCTATTTTATTTGTTGAAATTATTTGTCTTAGCCATGATATATTTTTATGATTACGAATTTTATTTTATTTGTTGAAATTATTTGTAGGCCCATGATTATTATTTAGTTTACGAATCCTATTTTTATTTGTTGAAATTATTTGCTTCGATTTTAATTTATTTGTTGTGTTCAAACTTAGGTGGAGTGGGATCCGTATCCGAACGGAGCAAAAGATTTGTACGAGTTGTGATACCCTGAGGATCATCGACTATGGTCGTGCAAGTTGCCTGTGATTTGCCACAACATTGTCGAGTGGCACCTCCCGGATAGATGTGTCCAACAATATAATTGGGCGCAACTGATTCCTCTCCCACCACCGGACGTACATAAGTCACTCCACAAGTACAACAAGGATCTGCGGGGTACAATCAGTGATTGGCCAACCAAGCACCATAGATGGATTGAAATGTGGGAGTCTCGTCATACGTATGCAATTGATGGCATCCCAAGTACGAGGCCAATGGGGTACCAAGATGAATATATGGTTTGGTACCACAAGTTCACAAAAAGATGGGTAACCAAACGTGGCGCCGTGATCGGTTCGTTGGTAAGCACAATATCTATTTACTATAAGTCACTTTAGCTACACAAAGAGTGTTTGACTAACATGTTTATTATTTAGATTGATGGGTTGGAACTTGCATCAATGACGTTGGAGGGTGAACCAGAACAAAATACAGCACCTGAGAAAATTTCATTCTTGAAGAAGCTATTCAAGAATCCAATGCAGTCAAAATCTCGTTTTAAAACTTAAAAACTTACGGTTTTACGCTTTTAGGTCACTAAAACGCTTCCGTTTCTATATAAAATCGTTAATGCATAAAATCGGACAAAATTACGTTTTAAAGCTTAAAATCTTACGCTTTTACGCTTCTAGTTCACCAAAATGTTTTACGCTTTTACGCTTTTGGTTCACTAAATGGGTATTCTTTTCAAGAAATTAATTACAAAAAGTATATTTTAAAGGTAATCACCAACAATATGATACATTTGATATTAAAAGATACATATCAGGTACATGGATGGCTTCTCATCTTCAATACAATAATCTAATTCACCAGCTAGGTCATTCTCAAATTCTAGTATAGAGGGGGAATGTGGCTTATTATTAAGATTATTTATGTTTATGAACTTATTTTTAAGATGCTATAAGTTGGTCTACTTTAGACATAAATTGAAGGTATTTATTAACTTATCTAAATTCCTAGTACTCATATATTTACATAGTATATGTCATACTTAACAACTGTTTAGTTATTTTACAGCACGCGTCAAAAACTTACGCTTTTACGCTTTGATTCTACGCTTTACGATTTTACCCATTTTCCATTTCTAGGTAGAATCGCGCCTTTGACTGCATTGAAGAATCTCTTGTCATGTTCGCGGGAAATCCGAAGGGATGTCATTGCATATCCTCCTGCACCTGCACCGCCACGTCCTTCCTCCCATGCCATTGAAGTTGAATCCCTCCCGCCATCGCCACCAAGGAGGAGTAAACGTCGACAAGAGCCAGTTACTGTTCCTGTGCAAGTACGAGAAGATGTGGCACTTCCTCACCCATACGAGTATGGATTCCCCCCGTCAGAAGGGAATTTGGAGAGGGATCATCAGGATCTACACAAGGAGGGGGAGGAGGAGCCAACTATGCTCCCTCGTATGGTCCTCAATTCCAAACCCCGCAACAAAACTTCCAGCCTCCGATGACAAATGTTTATTATGGTAGTTCGAGTCCTAAAAAACTAGATCCAGTGCAAACAATAATTTTCCTCTTGCACCCTATTTTGGAGCATGTCGGGCCGAAAGTGACTGGACAGAATGATTGAGCAGTGGTTCGAGTCCTTAGAACTCGATCTGCACTAGTTCGAGTCCTTCAAACTCGATCTACTACAACAAAAAAATCTTATCCCTATAACCCTATCCTGAAGCATGTCGGGGGAATAATTGAGCAGTGGTTCGAGGCCATTGGAATCGATTTACATAGTTCGAGTTTTAAGGCATCGATCTTGTGCAGAAATGGATCGAGGCTTCTAAAGTCGATGTATAAGATCGAGTTTTTTGGCATCGATCTTACTAGATCGAGTTGTTCAAACTCGAACTATATATACATCGAGTGGCTTGTCGTCGATCTTCTTTGATCGATGGTTCCAAAATCGATCAACTGTTGATCGAGTTTTAAGAACTCGATGTGGTAGTAGATCGAGTGCTTCATCGTCGAACTGGCTCCTTGTTCGAGTTTATGGGACTCGAACCCTTTGAAACTTGGGTATTTTGGGAAAATTTTATAAATCTTATGTATTACGGGAATTATGTTTAATTTATGTTGTATTCTAGGAATTAATCCTAACAAGTCTAACAGAATGTGGGATTCTGATTGCCGACCATTTGTGTTTATGAAGTCGTTATTTACGGTTTTTTAACTTGATGTGAGTGAAAAAAGAGAGACCAAATTAACGCAACAGAGATTACAGATCACTCAACAGGAAGTAGTCTCGAGAACCAAATATCATTCACACTTCCTCAGCTAACTTGATTACAATAGCCAGGAAAGAATGGTCCAAGATAACAATGCTTCTGATACGCACACACTGCATTCCCATCCCATCCCACGAAAGCACAATGCACAACAAACAAATTGATCAACGCAGCTGTCAGCTGAACGAAACCCTCATGTTAAAAGCAGGGACCGAATCAAGTTTTTTTCTCGGCTCCCTTGTGAGGAAAATGGGAAAGCACACCGGGAGGAGGGGAAAAATACACAAGAATGCCACACCGATTAGATATAGAGAAAGCCTTTTAGGACTCTGGCTCTGGCACAGAAGCAGTAGCAGCTGCTGCTGCGACGGCGGCGGCAGCTGCTGAACGCCTGATGGATCCGGATTTGAGGACATGGTTGTAGCTGCCCTTCTCCTTGAAGAGTTGGGAAAAATGATGCTTGCAGTACAGTACTCCCTCCAACGCAGCATAGTTTGAGGGCGAGATGGAGCATCCCCCGTGAGAGCACTTGAAACATGACTTGTGATATGCCTGACTCTCCACTGTTACCTGCCCATTTTCCACCTTATGTTACTACAGACTTGGGTCTTTCCAATCCACAGCGTTGTGAAACATCTAAATAACCAACCCCTTATGCTAATAACAACTTCCACTCATGTACTTCTCACATACTATAGTATTTGGCTTGAAAGGGATCTATGTGAAGTATTAGTAACCGGCAACAGATGAAACTTGGTCGAATACTGTGGTTACATACATTAGGATCACTAAAGCTATATCTCAACTGCCTAAGAAAAGGATCAAAGTATGTACCTTTTCGAGAGGATATGCAGTTTTACCACAAGTAGCACACTTTTCCTGTGTCCCTGAAAACATGCCGGCAGCTTTGCTGGGGGACTTCATCTGAAACCATTAAGTAAGATTATAAGGATTAGGGCGGGAAAGCTAGATCAAAAGGTAAAAACACATAGCTGATAGCACCAGAGGGATTGTTACCAGTTGCGGGCTTAACTTATCAGCAGCCTTTGCAGCTGTAAAAGAAGGGAGATATAGATTTTTAAAAATTAAGCAGCTGAATCAAATAGGATGCACGGAGAATTGAACCAAAAGGTGATATGCTGTAAAAAAGACAGGAGAGTCAGTAGAGTCATACGTGATTGGAAGTTCTTGTTGTAGTTACCACTCTCCTTGAAGAGCTGCTCAAAGTGTGGCCTACAATAGAGCACCCCTTCCATAGAGGAGTAATTCCCCAGCTGCAAAAGAAACATAAACAAGAAAATCAGACTACATGAGAAGCAAACTAACAAAAACCTTCGGGTTAATATTCTACTACTTCTATAAACTGCAATCCACATATATGAAATGTTTCCTTGTTTCACAGATGTAGTCATTATAAAAGGTCTTTCATGAACCTTGCGTTCGACGGGGTATGTACAAAATTCATTCATCATGCAAGGAAGCAAACCATAAACTGTGAACTCCTAAGCCAGGAAACAAAAAATCTTCTAAGATGTGCAAAAAGCAAGTTCAACCCCTCTTAATCTAAAGCCACATCAACGGGTTATTTGAGACTCGAAACAGGCAATCAAACCAAATACAAGTAAGAAAAGGGGAAGGAAAAGAAAAGGTGAGGGGTACCCATCACCTACCTTCAATGTGCCTTTGCAGTGATAGCATTTGAAGCAAGATTTATGGTAAGGAACACCATCGGCAGAGACAAGCTCCATTGGGTACACAGTTTTCTCGCAGGCCTTGCATTTGTCCTGAGTGCCAATGAACGACATGGCTAACTCTCTTTATGTATAGATCTGATTGTTCTTCTCTTCACCGCACTACAAAAAATTGACAAACGAACCCAGATCAAATTAAAGCCAACCCATCCATCAACCACAATGCATCAGCTCAAATGCGAAACAAAGAAACTAGCTTTGTAGCTCGCGAACGTTGGAATCCATCTATATATAACCCCAAACCGCCCAATCCATCATCTAAGCTAAACCCAGATCATATCTTCCATTGAACACGCGACAAAAAGGAAACTTTTTTAAGCGATCATAAGAGATCAGTGGAGATCCGCAATACCTTGATCGGGAGGAAGAACCTGGCGATCTGGGAGTCAACAGAGGGAAAAGGGGGAAAGGGAGAGAGGGAGTGGAGGAGGGGTTCTTAAGAGCGCTTTTTGCAGCGAGCGGATGCTGCGAAGTGGATAGTGAGAGAGAGATGATTATGATACGAATACGATGCACAGAGACAGTAGGGTAGAGACAAGAAAGAAATATCTGCTTCTGCGCTGGAATGCGGTGAGGCACCCCACTATCGACTCCGTTCTCTGGTTTTCCCCCTTTCTCTTTTCCCGTTTCCCGTTTCCCTTTTCCTTTCCATTTCCCCCATTCCTTAATTTATATGCAGTTGATTAACAGAAAAAATATCAAAAATAGCCCACTCTGTTTTATAACTACGCGAGATCTGATTTATCTCCATCCAAGGATTCTCAAACTAACTAATCTATTCCAAAGAAACATCGTTTACTTTTTGTTTATGGATGGATGGTGGACATGATTTCTACAATGGCCAGCACTAAGTGGGGTTAGCAACGATAAACGGGTATTTGGGCATATCCGTATTCATCTCGTATTTTGAGGGTTATAAGTATCCAAATACTCGTAATTTTTTTTTCCAGGATGAGACTTGGGATCAAGTATCACTTTGGGTACCTCGCGGGTTACCCGTTAATACCCATTTGGGCATTACGGGTACCCGTTATACCCATTAGTCCAAAAAGCCCAAAACTCAAACCAACTCCAACCCCTAGCCCGTCTCCTACTGCCCCATTTGATTCCCCAAACGGCCAAATCCCATGTCGAGGAGATTTCATTATGTGATATAAACCCTCATGTTCCTGCCGACGAAACTCAATTCCTGTCTTCTGTTCCTGCCGGTGGCAAAGTCTCCGTCATGCCATTGTGTCTTGGCCAAATTCAAACTTAGTCACTTGCTTCCTCACAAACCCAAGTGAGAGATCACCTTCTTGCTGCCTCTGTCTTGGAGCCATCAGATCAAACACAAGATCCCACCAGGTGTGCCAATTTGTTTTCCGACGAGAAAACTTGCGTTGAATTGAGATTGATTGCACCTTTGACTTCTTCGGACAACGATCACTAAGATACGGTTCAAAACTTTTCAAACATAGTTCGAACGTGGGTGTTTGATTGATGGATTTTTTTTGGAATAAATCTACGTTAAATTAACTCTACTCCTATGGAGGATCAGTGAGAGCTCCAAACTAGGACTATGGCTACTTGCAGAGAAAAATGATAAAGTTTGACGTAAGCGTCAATTGTTTGGTTGTGGAACCCCTATCTTTATCGACCCTTCCTCCTATTTATAGCCATGGGGAGATAACTGTCGTAGAAATCGCCTCTTAGATAACTCCAAAAAAGAACCGCTCTCTGCTTCCTCGGACATGGTGGTTACTCCCTCAACCGCCTTGGTGCCTCTCTTGGAACTATCGTGAGTCTTGGAGTGTGTCTTTCCTCGTATGATATTGTTCTAGATCTCGTGACACGCTAGTCTTTTGATGAGCACGTGGTGTCTCGCAAAGGGGTCGTGAGCCTCTTGTCTCATGGCCATGGACTTCTTACTCATGTACATGACCATCTTGGGACTTAGTCGCTAGTGATATAATGCTCCACCACCACTCCCTTCTCATTCGTGTCCATGGCCACTCTCGTGAGGTGGCAGAGACCTCTTGACTCACTCCTACTGTCACCCTAGAAAATGGCCAAGTGCAACCACTTCCTAAAGCGTAGTATAGCGGGTTTGGGTTTTAATGTCAACCCGGGTCCTAGATTTGATGACTACTCGGTGAATTCTTGTTATCTAGCAGTGAAACTTTAGTGCAAGTCCAAATTAACAAACAAACAAAGCAAGTTAAACGGTTGTTTTCAAGTCGAGAGAGGTCACCCGGATATGGTTCCCCCTAGACTGCAGTTAAGCCGGATAGCAATTACCAAGTTCAGTTTTCATGAAAGTTATATTGCGGAAGGTTCTAAAACAGTCTGAAGTCTCGACTAAAGGTCTCCAGACCCTCTCAATCTAAGTCTCCAGCGGGCGACTAACCTCCACCGGAGTAAACAGATTGAGGCCCTAACGAACCAAACCTCCACTACCGAAGTAAATTCGGTACAAAATAATGAATTGGCTCCTCGATTAAAGTCGCCAATTCACTACCTTCAACTAAGGGTGCTCTATCAACCTAGGCAGATATTCTCTTTCTAGGTTAAAGCAGAAACAACAGGAATTTGATCAGGATTCAAGTCATTCAATCATTCAAACCTCAATCGAATATAATCAATTCACAAACTCTGTACTTGGGTTCATACAATCAGACCTAACATACAAATCTAGGGTTCCCCATACCCAGATGAATGGGGAAACTACTCCATGGAGAGAGAAGCAAAAGCAGATTCAGACGCGGAAATCATACTGTGAAGGATGGATTTCTACTCCTGGACGTTGATCGGCACTCCTCCAAGCTCAAGCCAAGCTCCAATGGTGATAAAGATCAAGCTAGGGCACTTGGGAACTCTTGTTCGTCGCTTTCTCTCTCTAGGAATCGCTCTGTCTCTCTAAAACTCGTAACCCTCGATTTTCAGCCTTCTTTTCCCTTAAAACTGCTACCTGTCGCGATACTCGGTCGAAATACCCGGTCGGGTATTATGGGTGTCGACCGGGTATATTCAAAACGCGCGTTTCATGCCAGGGGAAAACCCCCGGTCTGCTCCAATAATCCCCGACCGGGGATTTTTGCCTTCTGCCCGGGGCCCATTCTGTTTCTCACGGACGCCCAAAGACAGAAATCCCCGACCATGGCCAGAAAATACCCGGTCGGGTATTTCTGCTCATGGCCGGGTATTTTGGCTCTCCAGCACACTTCAAGCCTCACTTGCTCCTTTCGACCCAAATCTCGTTCCTTTGCCTCGATTCCAACGCCGGGCCCTGAAACATGACATAAACGCACAACCTAGCGTGAATCGGCTTAAAACACGAGAATCAACATCTCAAACAGCTCAAGAATAGGGGTGAAAACATGTGTAATTATCGGTCTATCACCTCTTGATCATGCACATGGCCCCTCTCATGAGGCGGCATGGCCTTCTCAGACTTATAATATTTTTCAGTCATGCCTAAGCCTATTGTCTCGCGTCTATGACCCTTCCCGTGAAGCAGCATGGACCTCCCAGACTTAGAATATTTTGGATCATTCGGTCTTGGTCATGAGGCGGCATAACCTCTTCATTCGCGACCATGGACTTCTTAGTCATGTTTGTGACCCTTCGCGTGACACGAGATGGTCTTCTCATACTTAATAAAATTCAATAGTGCCTTCTTGTATCGCGTCCATGCCCCTTCTCATGAAGCGGCATGGACCTCTCAGACTTAGTCATTCGTCAGCCATGTCACCATCTCTCTCGTTAAGATGGCATGTACTTCTACACTGACACGGACATGACTCTCTTCGTGAAGCGGTACGTGCTTCTCGATTTCTAGATGGACATGGCCCTTCTCGTTGAAGCGACACAAGCCTCTAGATTCTAGACGGGCATGGCCCTCCTCGTTGAAGCGGCACGCCCCTCTCTAGACTTATAATATTTTTGTGCAATCTCGTGGCACGGCATGTTCTCTTAGACTATCCACAATGGTGGAAGGGAAAAAAGGAAAAAGAGGATGGGAAAAGTGGGAAAAAAGGATGGGGGAAGGATAATGGCCACAATAGGTGGTAGGGAAAAAAAGGGTATTGGGGAGGGTTTTTTTTTTCAAAATCAATCTAGAGTTGATATGGTAACTTTATTTTGATAATTTATTCATTATATTTATATAGGTAGTATTAATTAATTAAGACGAACATTTCGATCTAATTTTTTTAATTTGGACATAAAAAATTTTATCACTAAAATCCAATAACCCATAAAAATCCAATAAGAAAACCATAAAACAATTTTTAAAAATAAAAAACAAAAAAAAACCCACCCACATGGTCCCCCTTCCCTTCCTCCTCTCACCCACCTGGACCCACTTCCCCTCCTTCTTTTAACCTCTAGCGCAGGAGAAACCCTCCCCTTCTTTCCCTTTTATACTTTTTTTCCATAATACCCACCCCTATTGTGAGCCCTTTTCTCCTTTTTCCCCTTTTATCCTCTTTTTCCCTTCTTGCTGTGGACAGTCTTACGAGCGGCACATGTCCCTCGTTGGATCATGCCCATGCTCCTTAATGACTTAGTGATTTGGGCTTAAAATCAATATCCATAAGACTCAACTTAAACAATGTTAATAACTAATGTGACCTTATAAACTCATTGCTTATCTTGTAAGTCATCAATGTGGTACAAGACAAATTTATGACGTAAACACGATGAGAGCATATACATGATGAACATAAAGTGATGACTCGTTTACTTTAGACAACATTCACTGAGATACATTCAAGCATTTATAATCACATTCAAGAAAGCATGAGGGAAAAACAAAGAGAAAGTTCCTTCTGGGTCCTAATTCTTTCTGTGAGCTACAACATTGGAACTTGTATATGCGCTAAATAAGAGGTCTAAGGTGGAAGCTGGGCGAATTGGACGGGTATTTACGGGTAATATGGGTATGGGGTACCCATTATTCGTCTCGTATGGGTAATGAGTACCCGTTAGCCCGTACGAATTTGATACATGGGATAGAGATTGCTTTCCAAATGAGACTGCCTACCCGTTTAACGGGACGGGTATCATGTCCCGTCCTGTTGCCCACCCCTAACACTAAGATAGGGATGGAAATGAATTTATTTTAAAATTTTGAATTGTAGGAGTAATATTTTTTTTAGTTACGAGAGAAATCCATTAAAGACGACAAATCTCGATTTCTGTAAATACTTGTAATATCACTAGAAGTAATTAAGTTGGATATACAGTCATGTGAGTGGTTACAAAGGAAGTAATGCAAAAAATGTTAACTGCCAAAGTTTGAACCCAAAACCTTATGAATTCAAAATCACATCTTTACCATTTAAATCGATGATATTTTGTAGTTAAAATTTGTTTGTTTACGCAATCGGTCTTACTTTTAAAGGTTATGATTACTTAAATTAATGTCTTCTTAAGTAAAATCAGATGATCAGTTGAATTTGATAATTCCCTGACATGTTACTTACTTACTTTAAATATTTTCCTATTGAGTTTTATACTATTTGCAATCGTGAAAGTAGTTTGTTTTTCAATTTGAGTAAACAAAAAGCAAAACAAGTTTTACCTAACTAATTGAACTATTGAAGTTTTTTTCTAAACACAGAAGATGGAAAAGAAAAGAACGATGGGAAAACAAATCCTCGACCTCCAGAAAACATTATGGGTCAGAAGTAGGGATGGCAATGGGTAGGGTCGGGTGCGGGTTTACCCTATACCAACTCCTAACCCGCCGGATAGAGTCTTCTAAAATACCCAGCCAAATAACCACCGGGTATGAAAATTATATAACCATACCCTACCCACCGGGTAACCACGGGTATTCGGGTAACCATGGGTACGAATGTTAAACTATGAACTTATATACATATATGCACACACATATTGTTGTCCATTAAAAATTCTCAATACTTGTAACTGTTCTAGCTTCAACAATCCACACAAATAAAAATAGCAAACACATAATAATTGTTCTTGCTTCTACAATCCACACAAACATAATAATTGTCTACATTGACGAAGGAGATTAGAGAGGAGACACTAAATATATACAAGATACTTCTTACTTCTCCTTTTAAGAGTTGGTGGCAATCTTGCATGAGGAGCTGGGCAAGGCTCGGAATGGAGGAGTTTTCTTTTGGTTGGGTGAAAACTTATACAAGTTTTTATAGAAGTGTATTATTTATTTATGGGAAAAGAAATGGTCAAGGGAATGAGGATTTAGGGGTTTTGGTGTTAATTGTAGAGGGCGGATAATTTTAGCAAAAAAAAAAAAAAAAAAAAAAAACTGTTATGGTTGCATTAGTTCACAAAGGTGTTTCATTTTATGTTTAAACCGATGCATGGGTGTATTTATATGTCTTGGCGTGAATGCATGCAAATATATGTTCTTCCTAGGATTTTGAGTAAATGAAAAGGCTCTAAGAACCGTGGGTTAGCAAAGAGGAGAAGCATTTCACGATGTGTGCATACATGTATAATTGTGGCCATGAATTAAGATGAAAGGGGATTTGTTTATGCTTAAAGAATTGAGAGTAGGTAGGATCACGATCGATAATAGTAGCTAAACTCAATTTCTCAAGCTAAACTAAATTTTTCAAGGGAAATTGACCATTTGGTTAGCGGGGCGGGTATAACGGGGCGGGTATTATCGATTACCATACCCGTACCCTACCCTTTATTTTGAAACCGGGTATTACCCGTACCCGCCCCTTAACCCGTCAAAGCGGGTAATTACCCTCGTTGACCGGTTACGGTCGGGTAGGGTACCCATGGTTACGGGTTGGATTGACATCCCTAGTCAGAAGTGGCAACCTGCACCATATTCGAGTTGGGCTTTATTATTGGGCCAGCAAAATGAATTGCCAACGCGCCTCGCAAACCCACAGCATGACTGATCCGACCCGATCCATCCATCGCCTCGACCCGGCCCTAATCAACTCACTCTCCCCTCTCCTTTTTCCCGCCCAATTCCCTGCCAGCGACGCTGAGTCAGCATCCCCCATCGCCGCCTTAAAAGCACTCAAAATCACGCTCTCGACTGCGCATAACAGAATCCCATCGCTCACAACAAACTCTCTCCCTCTCGATTTCCGCTCCCTCTCTCTCCACAGATTCACCAAAGAACCGCCATGGAAGCTCTATTGAAGCTTTCCGTCCTCCTCCTGCTCTCTCTTTCCTCCATCCTCTCCGCTCCAATCGCCACCGCCGCCGCCGTCATCGGCGTCACTTACACCTCTCCTCTCACCGCGCCGCCACCGACCTCAACCGGCGGCAACTCCTCGCTGCCGACTCCTCCTCCGCCACAGCGCGCGCGGCCGGAGGCCATCGCCGCCGTCGTCTGCGATCTCCGATTCGGCGCCGTCCGCCTCCCGCAGCCGGATCCCAATCTCATCCGAGCCTTCACCTTCACCAACACCTCCCTGCTCCTCTCAATTCCAAACTCGCTCCTCGCTCCCCTGGCCTCCAATCGCACTCTGGCGGTCCACTGGCTGCACGTCCACGTCCTCCCTTTCTATCCGCGCTCCAAGATCGCCGCGATCTCCGTCGGCGAGGACGCCGTCGCCGCCTCCGAGCTCCCGTTCCTGCTGCCTGCCATCCGCAACGTCCACCTCGCGCTCAGGGACATCGGAATCAGGTCGATCTCCGTCTCCACGACGTTTTCCTTCATCAACATCGTCACGACGGCGTTCCCTCCTTCCGCGGCGACTTTCAAGGAGCCGATCGGCGAGGCGGTGATCAAGCCGCTGCTCCAGTTCCTGGAAGACACCAACTCTTCCTTCTTGGTGAATCTCTATCCGTACAACATGTACCGGCTCCACTTCCAGATCCCGCTCGGATTGGCTCTGTTTCAGGAAGGTAATTTCAATTTCCGCGACGATTTCGCGACTGGAGTCCGGTACCGCAATCTGTTCGATATGATGGTGGATTCCGTCGTCGCTTCCTTGGCGGTCGCCGGCCACGAGAGCATCCCCTTGGTCGTCGCCGAGACTGGCTGGCCGAGCTCTGCCGCAGACGGCAACGCCGAGTCCGACGCTAATCCGGCGTACGCGGAGCTGTACCTGAAGTCGTTGGTCGCGCACTTGAACTCCGGCAAGGGAACGCCGCTGAGGAAGGAAGGGGTGGCGCAGGCCTACATCTACGAGCTGGTTGAAGAAGCCGATCCGAAGCAGCAGCTGCAGCAGCAGGGGGCGCACAATTGGGGTATTCTGTACCCTAACATGAGCAAGAAGTACCACTTTGACCTGTCCTCTGCCTCTAAGAACGGTACCATTGCTTCAGGGAGATTGCTTCTTCTATTCTCCATTGCGCTCTCCTATTTGTTGTTCCTGTAGATCTAGCAATGGCGTCTGAACTACCCTAAAATTCAATTGGGGGCTTGATTTGGTGATCTTCGTTGGAGTGCATTTTTGTTAATTGATCTGGGAATAGTGGTTGTCATAGCTTGATTCCAATTTCGATTGAACTGTTCATTGTTTTTTAGATGGAATCAGATTGAGGAATTCCCTTCTGTAACTACAGTTTTGTGCTGAGGAATAATAATGACGACTGGAATTTGTTCCCCTGAATTCGTTTCTTTTTCCTGAATTCCGATTTCTCAGTAGCAGATAATTAGTGACAATTGCAAGATTAATTGGCTTACGGAAGATGGTGATCTTACATAAAATGGCCGAACAGTAGAAATTATCATGATAATGATGAACTCAAGTTGAATTAATTAAGAATAAGAACTGTTTGGATTAGTGGATTCATACGCCTTGAGGGGATTGGGCTTCTGGGCAGGTGGGCTGCTTGTTTTGGGCCCTCAAAACAATCTTCCACTTGCCAGCGTAAGAAAATGGACGATCTTCTTCCCAGTTCGCATCCAAGCCCCAGAGGTCCATTTCAGCGCTTGTACTTCGCCTTGCTTTGCGAAAGATTACACTAAAAACTCTGTGGCCAAAAGCAGAGTTCTTCTCTCAAATGGGGCTCCGCCGGATCGTATTTGCAGGTTGGTCTACGGCTGCTTTCTGCAATTACCCTCTACGAAGTCATCAGTTACCATATAGCGTTCAATGTTGGTTGTTGTGGCTCGAAACTGACTGGGATTTGCTCAAGTTTGCATTCTGTCTTAACTAGTTTCTTTGGGTGAATCACTTACTGTTGTTTCATCTCAATTTCATTTCCTGGGTTTGCCGCGGGAGGTCTGTTAACCTATTGAATCACTTTTTCAGTAGTGGTGGTGGTGATGTGAGCCAAGGTGAATTAAGAGGAGCTAAATGTCGTCTAAGTTGATGGGGGAAACAAAAGCACACTGTAGTCCTGCAGTCCATAAAGTATTCGTGGATGCTTGTTTGGATCAGACTTTGAAGGGTAATAGACCCTTTTCGTGTTTCACCAAGTATGGATGGGACAATATCTTAACAGGCAATGAACGGAATAGATGGGTTGCATATTGACAAGAAGCAGTTGACAAACCACTGGGATATCACAAAGGAGAATTGGAAAATCTGGTTCAAGTTAGCTACCACTAGAATGATGAAATGGAACCCTGAAACTGGGTCGTTTGGAGCAACTGATGCAGATTGGAGCAACTATTTGAGGGTATGTTCAGTATTATTTTTAGTAGCTGGTTGCTGTTTTGAGTTAGTAAGCACTTCTCTGTTGAATGTCTGTAGGAGCACCCTGAACCTGTAATATTTCGGTTCAAAATGCTTCAGCAGTGGCCAGTGGGACAAGCTCGAAATCGTTTTTGATTTTATGAGCCTGGAAGATGGAAGGGAAAGTCTGCCTCTAGAATGTTCAGAGGATTTGAAATCAACAACCTCTTTGATTAGTTTCTGGTAGTGGTATTGGTTGTCACTATAACGATGGAAGAGCAGCTGTAGCAAGTGAACAGAGCATGTGTGGCAGTACCTCAGTTAGATTAGGAAAGCCGCACTTCTCGTGGACTTTTTCTGAGGCATCCCTCAAAACTTTCATTGATCTGTGTTTGGAGCAAGTTTCAATTGGTAATAAATGTGGATCTCATTTGTCCGAGGAGGGATGGATAAACCTTATTGATTCATTCCACATAAGGACTGGTGTCATGTTAAACGAGGTCCAGTTCAAGAAACTTTGGGATTCTGTGAAGAAGCGGAGGATTTGGTCTAAGTTGGTTGCCACTAGTTACATGAAATCGGATCCAGTTGCCCATAAATTTGGAGCCACTGAAAAGGGAATGGAAGAACTACATCCATGTAGGTCAAATCTAGCATCAATCCTTCTGTCATATGTCCCTGGTTGATAATAATATCATCATTGCTAGCTCTCTCTTGTTAGGAATTCCCAGAAGCTGCCCCATTTCGGTTAAAGGGACTCCAGTTTGCTGACAGATTAGACCTACTTTTATAGGGAACAACAGTTGCTGACCACTATGATGCTAAACCTGTTAGTCAGCGCAGAAGGCTCGACCATGATGATCTAACTAGAAAAGCTGGTGAATCATGGAGTTCACTGATAATGCAGCAATACGATATAGGTTTGTTATACACTTGGACTGCAGAAGCTAGACCAAGTTACAGTGTTGGAGACTGCATTGAGCGTCTCGATGGGATGAAAGGGGTAGAGCTAGGAAGTGAACTCTATTTATTTGCATTGGACATATTCATGAAGAAAGAGTGCAGAGAAATCTTTCTCGAGTTGAAAAACCCTAGTATTTGGATTGCATAGTTGAAGAGGCTGATGCTATCAGCTGGTTCTCTTAACCATTAGACTCAATCTGTGTGTTTATACAGCAAGCAGTTACTGCATTGTCAATTAACTTCTCTTCGTATCAAATATATACAGCATCTCTCTCATTTACAACAGAATTTTCAAGCTAGGAACTACAACAATTTACAATGCACGTTGGTAACGAAGCTAGGAAGCTGTTAATAGGGAATCAGACACTGTGTGAAATGGTCTCTTTGGGCAGATTTGTTGAGATCCTGAAATCTTGAAAGTAGTAGTCATAGTAGTAGTATTCTGGGTTTGGTAGCTTGAAGACACGCGTTCCTGAACTTGGAGGACCTGTAGTAAGAGCATCCATCTGGCTGCTGATTATTGCTGCTACCCGAATGCCTCGCGTCTCCACCAAAACTCTTTCTCTTGAAAAGTATTCAATTGCAGAATGCTCCATTTCGTCATCTGATCTGGAAAAATGAGGGATGATCCATCATCCGATCGCGAGCCAGAGGTGCATGCTAAGTATCAGAATTCAAATTCTAGGAAGACATTTTTTTCAAGTGCTGAACATTGTTTAATCAAAACGTTGTGGTTACCATGCTAATCGTTTTAACCAGTACTATTTGGATAATTTGGATAATTGGTTTGGTTTGATTAAAGTTTTTAGCTTGTTTGATTTAGGTAGTTTGGTTTGGTTTCAGACACTCCTAACCAGCCAAACCAAATTAACCAGATAAATAATTAGTTATATATATAATATATATACATACTTAATACTTTGAATAACCACTCAAGAGTTAAATGTTCATCCTTTTAGACTCATAAAATATAAAGCTTGATATTGTTCCTATAATGTATATTTGTATATGTAGAGTGTAGACCACAACATATGACCGCCTAATTTAGATAAATCTCATATATTATGTTGGATGAAAACTTGAAAGCAAGGCTCTTTTCAGCATATGAAAATTGCTAAAAGACGGGGTCGTTTGGATGGATCAATCTAGAAATGAGTCAATTTGATCAATTGTCTCGTTTTATAAACGAGGCAATTAAAATGAGTCAATTCGAATTACCTGCCCCACCCCAGGTAATTGGAGAAGCTTGTGGAACCAAGACTTGGGTCCGGGTTGAAAAGAAACAAGACCAGATGGCTTAAAGAACATGAAGGGCTGCTTCGCCGTAAAAGGCTTGGGCTTCAAATGAGCACTTTGGTCAAATCTCTTTTGTGCGGAGTGCACTCATTGCTTTGGGAAGGCAATTGTCTTAATTTTGCAGTTGGACTTATGGAAGAGCATGGCCCAGAAGTATTGGGAGAAGCAGCAAGAGAAGTTTGTGGGCTAGCTTCAAAGAAGATGTTTGAAGGCTTGGATGAGTTGGTACTTAAGGATGAATTCTTGAACAAGAACGAACCCTTGGGTTCCTTGAGTTGTTGGATGGTGATAACAGAGAAAGAGGCATTTCAATGCTTTGAGGACGCGAAGAGTAGGCCATCATCAATGACATTCACAACTTGGGTGCAGCAGCACGATGTTGAAGAAGGAAGGCCAAGTCAAGTAGTTGAGCCTGACCGGAAGAAAAGGAAGCGCAAGAGGTGGAGCAAACGGCGTGCATATTGCGTGAGGAAGAAAGAAGAGTGGGTCGAGTTGATCAACCTTGAGGGCAAGGTTGGTCTCAAGGGGGATGGGATGTTAGAAACACGTTTTCTAAGAAAAACGAGTTTCTATATTATCATTATTATTAGGTTTTATTAAATATGGTTAGTAGTCTTTTAGTAGAATTAGGTTTAGTATTAGGTTTTCTTATCTTTCGTTATAAATATGTACTGGCGTTTTATTCAGAAGGAAGCAAGAACAATTATTCAGAAACGTATCTCAAACCCTAATCTCTCTCAAATTCGTCACCTATCCCTAGGCCGTCGGCCATTCTTCTCCTCAATTCCCAATTTCCTCTTCCAAATCCCTAAATTCTACTCTTCTCAATCCCTAATATCCCAATTGGGATTTCTTGTGTCCTACATGCATGCTAAGTATCAGAATTCAAATTCTAGGAAGACATTTTTTTCAAGTGCTGAACATTGTTTGATAGAGATAAAAACACATTCTGTAGTCAGCGTACCTCAGAACCAGTGAGGACCAGCCTCCGTATCCTGCAGAAACGAGTTGCTGCACAGTGGCATTTCTTTCCTTCTCTTGATTTCTAGATATCAAAACTAGCGACCATCCACTAGCTTGAAGTTTCTTGTACACTCTCAGAAGCAGCACTTGTTGTTGAAACTGTCTGGAAAACAAGGAAAATACATTTCGCCTTATTGAATGAACTGAGATCAAAGATAAACCTACTTCTTGTTTATATTAAATCAAGGGTTGAAGACAGATCTCAGGATGGGTTTTACTTGGAGTTGAAGATAATACTGTTGTCTATGTCAATCAACACTGCAGCATCTAGACCATTATCATCAGAAGGTTTGACTCCATCGAAGTATCCCTCGACAACCCAGAGACTAGCGGCCAGGTCTCTCTCGTATTCACCACCTGCAGCCACCTGATTGTGGTAATCAGCAATATGATCCCAGCACATTGGAGGCAGTAAGTCTGGTGTTTTCAGGTTGTTGAGCTCTGCAAAGCTCTTGCATTGATGGTAACTCATCAGAAAACCAGCAGTGTGAATTTGTTGTGGCGTCGTCTCTTCCATAACTCCTTTGCTCCTGTTCTCACAGGATTGGAGCATTACTGTCAGCAGAATGAGCAAGCTGATCATCAACACTCCTGCTGTGACAAGGAGAGCAATGAACATCGTTGCAGCGAATGATGTCATGTAGAATCCCGACTCCATCACATATTGGCTTCTCATCTCTTCTGGATCAAGAACACCCAACAACAAGAAAACTCATAAATCTGTATAATGTTTGCAGATACAAAATGGTGATCAATTTCCATGTCACTTTGAAGAAGGGAGGGTTTTCTACCAGAATCTTCTCCGCTAGATAGGCTACCAGCAGAGAACTCCCTCTCCATTTGGTGGGCATATGCTGACATTTTTCTATAACCAAGAGGATCGTTCAATATCCTTCCAGAGGACTGAAAAGCATCCTATAAGAACACGACACAACATTTCAAACACAGAAAAAGGAGGGGAATGAGAAGTGAGAAGAAACAGAGCAGCTTACAAGCAGAAGAAGAAGATGATGATTCAGCCATGATGCCACCACCTGCTACAGGAAAAGGCCCTCCTGCATCTGTCTAGTTGTTTCCTCACTGATTTAATCATGTTCCCCAGCAGCAAAAGAGGAAGACGGTAAAACAAAGCCCAAAGATTGAATCTTTTTTACTCTTAAAAACACATGGAAGGAAGATCTACCATATGCAATGATGATCCGCTCCACCTGTGAATCTAACAGCAATATCGCAGAACTGGGTTGCAGGCGATGCCAAAAAAACAGCCCAAACCAAGGAAAGCAAATATCTGGAGAGAGAGAGGTGGAGTTAATAATTGCTGCCTGGGCTGGGGATGCAAATGGCTGCTTAAATTTATGGAACTAGGATTGCAATTATGAAGATGAAAGAGATGCCGGGAGACACTGAGACTCTGAGATCGAGCATATGACCATGGGTGGATTATGGAGAAAGAGACAGGTTGATTTCTTGTACTCTCTCATGGAGGAAGAACGTGGCTCCACAGGGAGGTGACTTTTCGGTGTATGGCATGGTTTAGTATTTTACTTAAATTATCTTCTGATGGTGATTAAGCCGATAAACATTATTGGCAAGGATGGTCATTGGATAAAGACTAATAACATCCACCTAACCCTCTGGCCTCTGGGAGATGATAACATTTGGGATTAAGGAAAAAGCCCAATTCCAGCAAAAATCAGACGAACTGGACATAACTACCGACGTCGATAGCCCAGCCCACTACCCAATCGTAGCCCATACTTTTAAACAGAGTGGGACCACCACGGGAAAACAAGTTAGGTTTTTTTAGCACGACGGCGTCGCCGCAAGCGGAAGAGCGGACTCCGCGCCGCCGGGAGGAAAAGGAAAAAGAAGTGGCACACAAATCGTTCTAGGCTCTCTACAGTATATATACTATTGATCTTGAACTCGAGCTATCTATCCCTTTCTTTTCGATCTTCCGTCAATGGTGGTCGGCGCTTCTTCTAGGGTTCTCAACGGCAGCAGCCATTTCTCATCGTTGGCTTGGCTCCACCGTCAGCCCCCGGACTTCGAAGGGAGCGGATACTATAACAACACCTCCTTTGTTGTTATAGTAACAACAAGGGTAAAAGGGTCCATTAACACAATATCTAACAAATAAAATAATCCATATTTAGCCTGCAACCGTCTCTCGATCTCCTTCCTCGTCGGTCTAACAAATAAAATAATTCGCAGATCTACCCCCTCCGTCGTCGGTCTTCTCATCAATTCGTACAGCCGGCCGGCGATCTCCTGGCGAAAGCTTTCCTTTCCCGTCGCCGGCGGATCGATGGATGAGTAATGGAGTAAATTAATTGACTAGAGGAGCCGAATTATTAAGCTAATGATTGAAGGAGCTGGCGCTAGGAGGAGGGAGATAGGAAGGAAGATACGGAAGAGTTAGTAAGCGACTAAGCGTACCTTTCTGTAAGTGGTTCCGTCTTCTTCAACGGTCCATCCAGCTTCGTTGCAGAGAGCTTTGAGGATTTCGTTGTTGTCGCAGTGCTTCGGGAGCTTGTAGTTCCCGTACATCCTGAGCCCGGAGTAGATCTTGGCGGCGATCGCTCTCCTCCGCCGCTCTCTCCTCTTGTTGTTCTCCCTCTCCTTCCACGTCGGCATTCTCGAGCCCGACGTCATTCTTTCCAGTCTCCCCTCAATTGGTGTACTCGACCACAGAGGTTGGATTGCCCCTTTGTACAGGCGTGTCAACTGAATCAGATATGACATGAGCATGGTTTGATTTTGTAGTCGACTTGCATGTGATATTTTTTGGGTGATCTTTAGTTGGTTATGAGTTTGGTTGTGTGGTCATCTCCAAGAACAAAGTTGAGAACTTGAGATGTCTGTTTATGTTGCAAAAAAGATAATCCCAAGTTGTAAAGCTCGTGAGATGGCTGGGTGGAGTCTTGTGATTGGATTGTGATGTAAGTTATTCAATTATGAGTCCTTCAATGTGGAAGAGCTTTGTTACAATTAGTGGTTTGTGATTCTAAATGGGGTTGTAGCTTCGTAACAGTTTTGCATTCTTTTGTTAGTTATCATTTCATAAGCACGTTAGAAACTTCTCAATACAGACCACAAATCACCTAAAACAAACCAGAAAAGTTAGAAAGCAAACCACAAATATTTTATAAGCACATCAGAAACCTCCTAATACAAACCCCAAAAAGCATACCGGAAACCTCCTAATACAAACCAGAAATCTCTCAATGCATGCCACAAATCCCTTAAAACAAACCAGAAACCTCACAAAGCAAACCACAAATTTTTCAAAAACACATCAGAAAACTCATAACGCAAACCATAAACACCGTAAAGCAAACCACAGAAACAAACCAAAAACGTCCTAATGCAGACCAAAAATATATTAAAACAAACCAAAAATCTCACAAAGCAAACCACAGAATTTTCAAAAACACACCAGAAACCTCATAATGCAAACCACAAACACGTTAAAGCAAACCACAAAAACAAACCAGAAACCTTCTAATGCATACCACAAATCTCCTAAAACAAACCACAAACCCCTCAATGCAAACCACAAAGTTTTTGAAAGCAAACCAGAAACTTCTCAATGCAAACCACAAACACGATAAAGCAAACCAGAAACTTCTTAATGCAAACCACAAACACGATAAAACAAACCACAAAAGGCATACAAAAATATGAGAAACCAAACCATAAATCTCACAATGCATACCATAACATCCGGTGGTCATTGACCGTTGACCGGTCAACGAAGACCGTTGACCGGTCAACGAAGTTCGTTGACCAAACTCCGATGACCGTCAGTTACCAGATTCCGGCGCCGATAGGCATATTCCGGCTCCGATGACTAGATTCCGACGCCGGTAAGCATATTCCGACGCCGGTAAGCATATTCCGGCGACGGTGAGCATATTCCGATGACAAAATAGCATATTCCGGCGACGAAAAGCATATTCCGGTGACCGGCGACCATTTTCCGGCGACCGGTAACAGAATTCCGGCGACCAAATTTTTGGGCCGAAAAAATAAAAAAAATTATTTTTTTTTATTTTTTTTATTTTTTATTATTTAAACATATTTTTCATAATGACAATTATACCCCTGCTTTGATTTTACACTAGGTCAACTCATCTAATAAAAAGTCATCACAACCCTAGCTTCCTATTGGTTGGAGACTAGTGTTGTTACTATAACAACACAAGGAGTGTTGTTATAGTAACTGGTCCCGACTTCGAAAGCCAAGTTTGGTTTTCCCTTCGAATGCCTCCCTCCCTCCTCTCTTCTCCTTCTTATTCGCCTGTATCGCTCATGCAGCATCTCTGCGCCGAAAATGAAGAAACCAAAATTGTCAAAGACATTGCTCTTGCATGATGTTTGGTGCAATTGAATTGAGTTAGTTTGGTGATATAGGTTAAGAGGGTAAGTTTATAAGGAAAGGATGCTCATCCAGCCAATTCAGATCCAATTATGTGCAGAGCCAAGTGCGAAGACTCGGGAGCTGAAACTAAATTTTGATTCTTTATTTGCACTCAAGTGTAGAAAATAGAAGCATTACTGCTATGTTAATGTTGTTAATACTGGGTTGCATTATCTCCATGGGAAAGTGGTAAAAGCAGAGCCACAAATACATTGAGCGATGGCAATCTAAGCAGCCCGCGCTATCCATTCATATCAGCAGCCCCCATCCATCATCCACGTGTCATTACACTGTTAACTGCTTATCTATCTCCCCACTCCCGCAACAAACCAACTGGAAGACGCCAGCCATCAACAGATTAAGTTTCCTTCTAGTTCTGGTTTTGGGATCTAGACATCAGTTTTTGGGGAAGGTCATCTAGCTATCTATCATGGAGACTGGTATAGCTTACTGTGGTCGTGGGGCATTCATGCCTTCACAGCATTCAAAATCTTTGGTGTCCCCTTCATCCATCTCTCCTTCCTTCAGCTCCAGGGTACTTTTTACTTACCTTTAATCAACTAGGCTCTTTCATGGTGTGGAACATCATTAGCTGCTTTTTGAAGTCATTAGTTGCCAACTTCAGGGTCTTAACAGGTTGTGCTGTAATTTTCATGCAGAGCCTGAAGTCAAGCTCATTGTTTGGAGAAGCTTTGAGGCTGGTTCCAAGATCTTCATCGTCATTTAAGGTTTCCAAGGCAAAGAGCACTGCTATCATCACCAGAAGTGAGATTGGTGACAGTCTGGTAAGCCAAAAGAGAAGCTAATTGGGGTTAAAGTTTCTTGCTTTTTTAAATTATAGGAACCTGAAAAACATCTGTTGTTTGTGTGAGTAGGAAGAGTTTTTGAAAAAGGCAACCACAGACAAGGGACTGATCAGGGTGCTGACTTGCATGGGAGAGGCAATGAGGACAATCGGGTTCAAAGTAAGGACAGCATCTTGTGGAGGAACTGCGTGTGTCAACTCCTTTGGAGATGAGCAGCTTGCTGTTGATATGCTTGCTAACAAGGTGCTCTTTGAGGTAACTACTTCTTCTGAACAAAAGTTTTATCATTTTTGAACTGCTGAGACTTCCAAGCTCCTACCTTTCCCTTTTGCTTCTCATTATTAGTTATCTATAGGCCTTGGAGCACTCTCACTTCTGTAAATATGCTTGCTCTGAGGAAGTACCTGAGCTTCAAGACATGGGAGGACCTGTTGAAGGTATATAACCTCTGCATTAATAAGGGTTTCTTCTAAACTACAATCTAGACTGATTCGATTTTCGGTGGGGTATCGATCAGGTGGATTCAGTGTTGCCTTTGATCCACTGGATGGATCGAGCATTGTGGACACAAATTTTGCAGTTGGCACCATCTTTGGAGTGTGGCCAGGAGATAAGCTAACTGGGGTTACAGGTGGGGATCAAGTGGCTGCTGCCATGGGGGTTTATGGTCCTCGGACTACTTACGTTCTTGCAATCAAGGGCTACCCTGGCACTCATGAGTTCCTCCTTCTGGATGAAGGTTTGCTTTTTTGGGCCTCCTTGTCGATGTTTTTATTCACAAAATCAATGGCCACTCTCTCAAAGTTTTTAATCACTGTTACAGGAAAATGGCAGCATGTGAAGGAAACCACCGAAATCGGCGAAGGAAAACTATTCTCACCTGGAAACTTGAGAGCAACATTTGACAATCCTGATTATGACAAGGTTTCTCCTCATTTGCCTCTACATCCACGAAGTCGCATTTCTGATTTGTCTCTTTCACTAAAAACTTTGTTCTGTCTCATTTGAACATTGCAGCTGATCAACTACTATGTCAAGGAGAAGTACACCTTGAGATACACAGGAGGAATGGTGCCGGATGTGAACCAGATCATTGTGAAAGAGAAAGGTGTCTTCACCAATGTCATATCGCCAACTACCAAGGCGAAGCTGAGGTTGCTGTTCGAGGTAGCTCCACTAGGGCTCTTAATTGAGAATGCCGGAGGTTACAGCAGCGATGGCCACCAATCTATTCTAGACAAGGAGATCATTGGACTGGACGACAGAACTCAAGTTGCTTATGGGTCCAAACAGGAGATCATTCGGTTTGAAGAAACTCTATATGGGAAGTCAAGGCTCAAGGAGGCTGGTGGTGTTCCTGTTGGTGCTGCTGCTTAAGACATCCCAATATAACTGCTAGCTACTCCTGCTTTGTTGAGCAGGAAAATATCATGTACACAGCCTGCCTCAATAACTAGCATATCAGCCAGATCACATATCGCGCGAATGGAACTGTAATGGTTTCGCATATAATGGAAGTCTAATGCAAAAGATCTGGTATTTTGTCCTTCTGTTATGTTTTGTTGGGTTCAAACATACAGAATTATATGTTAAAGGGCAAGCCTTATACCCAGCTGACTAACTAAGAACTGACCAGGGAGGCAAGTATGTGGTGTGTCTTGTTATAGAATGATGCAAAGCTGGATTCTTGGAGTAGCAGAAACTTAGTTTCCAAGGCAAGAAAGTAATTATCATACTGCATGACTCATGTACAAATCCAAATGGTACTCTCTGATACAGGGTTCGCATAGCCATTCATGCAAATGTCCAAAGTGGGTTTTTACCTTGGATCTTCCACCATTTCCCATCGTTTTTGTGTTTTTGTCTTTCTGGACATTTACCAACCCATATGCTGCTTTTATCAGAATAAACTATGTATTTCCTTGTGCATATCAATATTTTTTTCTGTCTCCTAGCTACCTAGTTTCCAACATCAATAAGGATTACCTACCAAGTCCAGGACATTAATCAGGCCAACACAGAGATAATAAGTTGCAAGCTATGTATCAGGTAAGGACCAAGACAACCATGGTAATGTTCTTTTTGCTTGACAAACTAATGATGAACCAATGATAGTGCAAACAATTTTTCTTATCCATTTCCCTGATCACAGGAACTCGAATCCGGACACTTGAAATGGCACGGAAATGTGAGAGCAATCGTGGATGCAACTATAGACAAAGTTTGGGCCATGGTTTCACAGACCAAGAGGCTGCCAATGGTTGAAAGGTGCACAGACCTTGCTGGGGAAGAAGGTCAGGTGGGTTATGTCCGGTTAGTGTCCGGATTCATGTTCCCTCAAGAAGATGGTGAAAGGTCATGGATCAAGGAGAAGTTGATCTCCATTGATCCATCATCCCACAGCTATGCTTACAAGATGGAAGCCAGCAATGTTGGATTGGATGGTTCTGTGAACAAGCTCAAGCTTGTTGAGTATGGGGACCATGGATCAAGTACACTAGTTGTGTGGTCATTTGAGATAGATCCTCTGGAAGGTGTATCTCAAGATGATATTATAGACTTCTTGGGCTTTGTTTACAAATCTTCCAATGCTAGGATTGGTAATGCCATTCAATCTGGAGCAGACATAGTCTGAGCAATAGCCAAACAAGAAATCACATCTTCCTTGTGCTTTTTAATGGTTTACTCATCATTCGAGTCGCTCTGCACACATGTCAGACTTCTGGGCTCGTGTTTCAAACAGGTCGAGCACAATACATTAATGAGAATTATGTTCTGTATATATTTCTGTTTGTGCTTGGAATGTACCAAGCGGTTTGTGAGACTCCACAGGCCTTGGGCGGCTTCGATGGTCGGGGGCGGTCTTTGAAACCCTGCAGAAAGGTCCTCAGGGGGTTCCTGGGACCTCCTCCGATGCTTAAGTTAGAGAGAGAAGTGAGGAGGATGTAAATAAGAGAGAGAATCGAGTTGGTTGAAGTTACCATAAATGAGCTCTATAATTGGGTATTTATACTAGTTCTGATGGTGTTGCGCGCATTTAATAGCTTGTCGGGCGTTCGAGGTCGCCTCTGCTTTCAGTAAATGCTCGCTCTGGTCATGTCTCTTGTCAGATTCCGTACCCAAAGGACAGAAGTCCGTTAGACCAGATTGTCGGGCGGTCTTCTACCTTGGGCAGGCCCGGGTGTCGGGCGGTTTCATCCGAGGGCCGGTGAAGACCTCCCTCGAATGGTGTTTTTGCCCCTGTTCGGGTGGGCTTTCCCTTTCATGGGCTTTTGGTGACTTTGTGGGCTTGGGACCCATGTGCCTCAATATTTGGTCCAACATTTGCCCCTTAGGCGTGAGAAGTGGTAGGTTTTCGCGGCTAAACGAGGTCACTTATTATTATTGAGCGGCCTGGGTCGCCAGCCCATGTCACGGTCTCGAAACCGCTGGGCGTAGGACCCCTATTTGCCCCTGGCTGCGAAAGCGTAGCGTGCGAACGCCTGGGGGGCTGGGCCCTTCGCTTTATCGCCACGTGTCAGAACCTCGGGCGAGGAGCTCTGACGGCAGCAGGGCGGACGTCACTTCGGGGGGTTTCCGCCTTGATTTTCGCGCGGCGCACCCCCCAATTTTTGAACCCTTCTCTTTTTGAGTTTAAGAAGGGTTTGTGGAGGGATTTTACTGCCATTTATTTCTGTTTTCGGAAACCTCTTCGTCTTCTTCTTCTTTTTCCTTTGCTGTGCAAGTCTTGGAGCTTCTTCCGACGGGTATAAATTGCAACCTTCATTCCGGTGAGTGCTCTACCCTTTGTATTTCGCGGTGTGCGCCTTCTTTCAGTTGTGCTAACTATTCCTTTCTTTTCTCTTCGATCGTCGACAATCTCTTCTCCGCCGCGGAAATCGTTTTCCGCCCCCCAATCTTGCCAAGCGCAGATGTCAGGCGACGGTGCTGCGCTTCCGATCACGACGGCGAACCCTGCGGTTTCGACCCCTGACCTTTCCTCGGGGGGTACGGCGGAGAAGGATCGTCGGGATTCGGCGGCCGTTCCCTCTCCTCATGCCGCCGAGAAGAAGGCTAAGGCGGCCGCCCTTGGAGCTGCGTCTGTGTCCCAAGGTATGACTCACTCTCCCCCAACACGCAGCGCGTCTGAATGCGTGTTTGACCTGTCGGTCTTAGAATTATATGTAGGAAATGCGTTTGAACTGGACAGTTGCCTTGTCGTAATTTCTGTAGACTTAGAAAATTCTAATGTTGATACCCGCCCTGTGCCAGTTGGGGTTGTGGCCACCTCTTCGGCGGTTGGGGATAACTTGGGTGAATCGGATCGGGTAGGGCTAGGTAGCGATTCCTTGGACATTGAGGATGAGTCTGGAAGTGATGGGGTACATTCGGAAGCGGTTCCTAGTACTTCGTCATCCTTGGAGGTAGTGGAGGACGCGGAGGGAAGACCGCTTCCTCTTGCCATTGCCGACTCTGTGTATACCTTGCTTTTGCACGTTGGGATGTGGGATGGTGGGGAGGTGCCAGAGGAGGTATTTGCCCGCGGTCCATCACACGCAACGGTGTTTAGGCCCGATCAGGTATTGTACCGCCTGAAGTCGCTCCGCATGCCTCCAGACTGGCAATATGCGGCTCCTTCTGAGCGGAGCCGCTCCGGGTCTTGCCCCAACGGTTGGATCCCCATCCATGTCGAGCACGTAAAACTTGGCTTGCGGTTCCCGCTGGACCCCATTCTGACGAAGGTCCTGCTCTGGCTCAACTGCACCCTTGGATGCCTCTCACCCACTATTATCTTCCACTCGATTATGTATCGGTGGGCGTGTGACCGCCTAAAGGAGACTCCTTCTTTTGATGCGTTCCGGATGATATACAATATCCGCGACTCGCCCAACGGTTGGTCCATCGGGAGGCGGGAGAATGCCGTTGGTTTCGTCAAGGGAGCGCCTAAGCTTGATTCCCCATGGTATAAGGAGTACTTCTTCGCTCGTCCCTCCTGGAAGTGGTATTCTGGTGACGTGGAACCGCGGACGGGTTATTCGGCAGGGCAGAAGGATGATTGGTGTGCGCCCTCACAATTTCCCCAATCGGTGAAGGATCATGTCTCCCGCCTTGTGAACGGGGTTCAGATTCGTGTGAAGCATAGCGGTCCTAAGAGCGCTTATCAGCATGTTCGTGCATTTTATGGTTAGTGTCGCTTTTGGCTAATGTTGAAATTCTCTTTCTCATGTGCTTTACTTATGCTTCCTTTTTTCAGGACTTCGTGAGTTGGCGGACGCGAACCGTCCTAGGAAGAGGAAGGCGGGAAGGTACGCCAAGGCGGGCAGTTCTTCTGCCCCGATGGCTGAGGCGGGAACCGCTGCTCAAGACCGCCCACAGGCCGCGGACCCGCCTATCATAGACTTGGCGGGTCCGGATGTCGAGCCTTCCATCCCTCTGAATCGGCGAGGGGGAAAGAGAGTGGTGGAGGCCTCTGCCTCAGAGGCGGCGGTGAAACGAGCCAGGACGAACTCCCCTCGGTCAAAGGCGGCTGATAAAGGTGCGAGAAGTGGGAAGCGTGTGGAACAGGGGGGCACGATCCCTTTGTCCCAGTTGGCCGCTACAGATACGGAGGCGGCTGAACACGGTCTTCATACCATTAGCGACTGGCTGGCCATGCCGACCGAGTATACCTCTACTTCCGAGGATAACAACAGGCGTCTTGCCGGGACCGCTGCCCAGTTCTTCTTTGCGGTTAGTGTTTCCTTTATCGTCGAGTGTCTTTTTCACTCCGTTTCTTTGCTTTTTGGCCTAACTTATTTCTTTTTGGGTATGTCTATGCAGGCGCAGATTGGATTTTCTCAGATTATCCTTCTGAATGACCGCCTTTCGAAGACGGTTGAGGACAATGCGGTCGAGATCGCCAATCTTCGGAAGAGCGTGAGCAGCCAGCGGGAGGCCATTGTTGCAGAGGTGCGGCCCAAGATTGAACGTGAGTTTTCCGACAAGTTGGCAGAGAAGGAAAGGGAGGTGCTTGCGGCTAAAAGTCGCCTTGAGGAGAGCGCCCTTAAATCTAAGGAGTTGGAAAGAACTTTGTTGGAGGAGCAGGAGGCGCTTCGTCAAGAGGTGGCGAACCTCAAGAGTGAGAAGGCCGCTCTGACCGTGAGCCGTGAAAGTGACCTTGCGGCGGCCCGTGCTGAGGCGGGACCTGCTTATCTACAATCAGCTGAGTTCATTGCTTTTGATAAGGCCAAGTACAAAACCGTGGTTGGCAACGTGGTGGCCGCCATCCGCCATTTGTTCAGGGAAGAAGCCCCCGACGTCGAGTGGGACTCGGACCGTGTCTGGGATGCGGTTGGTCTTTGGTCGACAGCGGATGTTAACTCGGAGGCGGACGAGTCTGAGGAGGAGGAGGCAGAGAATGGTGATGCGGTTCCTCGCAATGGGGAAGAAAATGGAGGAGGGGGTGATGCTTCCCCTTTAGTGTAAATTGTGTTTTCTAGACTCTTTATGCCTTTATTCTTATTTTCATATTGCTCGTGGTGAACAATGACTTTTGTGAGCGTGTGTGCTCTAGTGCGAGTGAGCACTGGGCGTAGTGTGCGTGGCATGGACGCATTTCGTTTTATGTTTGGAGGCCTTCTGAACTGGTTTATGATATCTGAAATATTTTGCGGATAACTTGTGCATTAGGCCGTTGGCGGTCATAGTACGTATGAGGGTCCCCAGTGGCGGGGAACCGCCCTATCCATTGTGTTAATGAGGGGAACGCCCTCTTCCTTGGTTAGGCTCTTTCCAGCCCGAAACCCTCTTGTAGAAGGGAGCTCGCCTCGTTTACGCGATCCTGCTTAACGCGGTCGCGTTGCATGATTTTCCTTAGTCTGTTGGATATTTCGGCATGGCCGCGTTGGAGCGGATCATGCAATTTGTTGCTTGAACCCTTATGTATCCTTATCGATTCGCTTGCAATTTTCGTGAATCGGAGGCAGAGTGCTCCATAAAAAGAAATCGAGGCGAGGCCGTGAAGTGAAATAAGTGCATTACTTTGGGCAAAAGAGGATGCTTAGTAGCAACCACTACACTATTACATGTGGAAGAGAAATGTTTCGGTCCACTCAAAATAACTTTGCTCCCGCGAGAGCGGTCTTTTCCCTCAGACTACGTCTGTGTGGTACTTCCGAAGGTGCATTCCATTCCACGTCTTGGACACGGGTGTGCCTTCCATGGTGGCCAGGCGAAAGGTGTTGGGACCCGTCTTTTCTCCGATGAGGAATGGCCCTTCCCACGTGGCGGCCAGTTTTCCGTGCTCATCTTTCTTTTGGAAGTCACGCTTGAGTACCAAGTCCCCTTCCTCGAGTGGGCGCAGCTTCACGTTCTTGTTGTATGAGGCTGCGACTTTTGCCTTTTCGTGCATGATGCGTTCCATGGCCTCATCCCGCCTCGATTCAACCATGTCTAACTGCTCGAGCAGCTTCTCATGATTGCGTTCCCGGTCATATGCTTGAACGCGAAGGGAGGGTAAGTTCAATTCTTCTAGGGCAACCGCCTCCGAGCCATAAGTCAGGGCGAAGGGGGTTTCGCCCGTGGCTGTTTTGTGAGTGGTGCGGTGTGCCCACAGAATATGGGGAAGTTCGGTGGTCCATGCCCCTTTGGCCTCTCGGAGGCGTCTTTTCAGCCCTTGGAGGATCAGCTTGTTGGAGGCTTCTGCTTGACCATTGGTCTGCGGGTAAGCTACCGAAGCCATGGTGCATATGATGCGGTTTCTTGCACAGAAATTTTCAAACGGGCGACAGTCGAACTGCGTCCCATGATCGGTGATGATTGAATG